AGAATAAATTTCTTTTTTCAGAATATTATTTCATTTGAAGATTCAGAAAAGTATTTATTTTAAATCATATCAAATTGTGTTGAGATGCGCTGCATAACAGAAATAGAACAGAATAGAGAAGCCAAGATGATTTGCTCGGACAAGTTAAGGCATCGAGTATCGGTTACGACTTGTTGGTCGTGACATTGATACACTGAATCAAATAAAAATATCTGATCCTTATGCCGATAGTGCTTATAGAATAATGTTACTAACTCCTGCTACCGAATGCTAAAACGGAAATAAGTTTTTCAAAATTAAAATTGATAAAATCTTACCTAAGATCAACAATATTTCAAGAGAGGTTAAATGGATTAGCTATATTGTTAGTTGAAAAAGACTTATCAAGAGAAATTGGTGATAAGAAAATTATTACTCCCTCCGTTTTAATTTAGATGAGGTAGTTTGACTTGGCACGGAATTTAATAAAAAAGAAAAGGACTTTTAAAACTTTTGATTTTAAAAGGTTAAGGGGTAAAAGCTTTTATGGGGCCATGACATTTTGTGTGGTTATAAAAGCTTCTTATTAAGGGTAAAATGGGTAAAACGAAGAGTTTAAAATTAAATTATTTCCAAATTTAAAAATGTATCATTTATTTTGGAACAGACTAGAAAGGAAAGTACTTCATCAAATTTGAAACGGAGGGAGTAGTGTCACGACCCAAAATCCGATACCAGTCGTGATGGTACCTAACCCAACCCGTTAGGTAAGCCAATTAACTACAATCCAATTCAATTAGATTTATCGAGGAAAATAAATGATAAAATAACTGAATCTTTCTACTTTTTCCGAGGACTGGTAGTACAAATCATGAGTTCTAAGATTTAGAATTTACAAAACTCGCATGAAATAAAATACATCATCTGTTTGAAATAAACGTGAACAGATTAATAAATTTAAAGCTACCAAGAACAAGAGGCAGTTATGACCGGATCACGAAAACATCCTCAATGCCAGCTCCCGCCATACACCGCAACATCAGTATCCAAAATCTGCACACAAGGTGCAGAAGTATAGTATGAGTACAACCGATCACATGTACTCAGTAAGTATATTATTTAACCTCGTTAAAGTAGTTGCGAAGATTTTTAGTAAAAAGATACTCACTATTATAACATGTGCAGTAGACTAACAATAGAAATAATTATAGAACATAACAGATAATGGTACAACAAAATAACTATGCGAGGCAGTNATATATATATTATATTCAAGATATCACATCGAATGGCACAGTAATACCTTCGTGCACTTATCTCATTCTCACCGAGCATACATATAACAGTACCAATTAGGTGAGAGAAATGTCAATAACAATAACAATAAAGTAGAAGGCACACAGGAAGCAATAACGAACACGACAGTACATATGGACAACAAAAACAAACTAGGAAAAAGGGGCATAGATGTAGATATGACAACAAGAGTGAAAACATGATATTCGCAAGTTAAACAGATAGAAGGCATGGACAACACAACAACAATTGGTATAAGGGACAAGTCAGAACAACATTGACAACCATATAGAAATCATAGGTGTAACAGTAACAATAAAGGTAAAGGCATGAATACATACACAAGGAAAAGATATCACAATATAATGCATGTCCCTCGTTCTCACCTGCATGGAAACACCCTTCGTGCCATGAACATATAGTAATATAAAACACGATAATATAACTAAAATGGCAAGGCATCACCCTCCGTGCTTTTACTCTCATCCTCATATGATAATGTGCATGATAGCATGATAATATAATTGAAATGGTACGGAATCACCCTTTGTGCTTTTACATACTTCCTCATATAATAATGAATATAAAATGGCACGGCATCATCCTTCGTACTTTACACTTTTCCTCACATGATTATGCAGATGAAATGGTACGGCATCACCCTTCGTGATTTACACTCTCTCTCACATGATAATGTATATGAAATAGCACGGCATCACCATTTGTGCTTTACACTCTTCCTTAACAAGCACATGCATATCATTAAAGAGCAAGGTAGGAAGCATAAATAATATCAAGGAGAGTATTTAAGCGAATGTTCCAATTGAACATCAATCACGGCTTTCAAGCCAATAACAATTTAATAAACCTCAAGTGCTTTATTAATCAAGTATTTCAACAAGTTTTAAAAATGATCTTCAACTCAAGTATAGAATTCAAAACCCTGAAGAATAATGGTCGTAGCGATGTATTTGTGATTAAGTATAATAACGACCAAATTTAGTACATCAATGATTTTTCAAAAAAGTCCGTCAGATTTTTAATCAAATTATAATAAGCCAAATGATGGTTTCTAGCATAATGTTCATCGAAATCTAGAAGTCAAAGAAGACATGAAACAAGAATGTCATATATGTATCACCCCCGCATATAGCAAACAATAGCAATTAGTAGAAAAAATTCCCTCAACAAAGTTAGAAAAAGCACTTACCTCAAACAAGCCGAATCCAATGTTGAGCAAGCTAAACAATACTCCAAAAATCTCATTCCGCGCATACTCTAATGCTTACAATTTAACAATGTATAAAAATTCTCATATCTGCTAGAAAAGTCAACCATAAGTCAACAGTGGGCCCATGCTTCGGAATCCAATGAAACTCACAAAATCCGACAACCCATTAAATTTTGAGTCCAACCATACTAATTTCACTCAAATCGGACTCAGAATCGACATTCAAATCTCGAAAATTCATTTTATGAAACTATAGACAATTTCACCATTTTCTCTTTCAAAATCGATAATCAAACGCCGAAAACGAAGATTAATTCATGAAATATAATCACAAGTGAGTCAAGAATGCTTACCCCGATCCACGTGGTGAATTTCCTCTCCCAAGTCGCCCAAATCGAGCTCCAAAATTCGAAAAAGTGAATAAAACGACCAAAACCTCAACTATAGCTTCTGCCCAGGCATGTTCGCATTTGCGAACGAAATTGTGCTTCTGCGGCGTCGCTTGTGCGACCAAAATCTCGCTCCCACGAAAGAACATTGGAAATCAGCCTATCACACCTGCAGATCTTTCCCCGCTTCTGCGCAAACGCATGTGCGACAAACCCCGCGCGCTTCTGCGAAATCCTCGATTCTACGATCGCATTTTGTGCTTTTGCGCTCCGAAAAATCCCACATCCAGTCATGTTTCGCTTCTGCGATGACACTGTTGCTTTTGTGGCTTCGCACCTGCACCCATGGCTCCGCATGTGCGACTAAACCAACACTGCCCAAACCAGCCTTCACCAAATATTTCCAAAATGATCTGAATCATGTCTGAAACTCTCTCGAGCCACTCGGGACCCCGTCCGAACATACCAACAAGTCCTATAACATAACACAGACCTACTCAAGGCCTAAAATCACACATCACAACATTGAAATGAAGAATCGCACCACAATTCAAACTTAGTAAATTTTCGATCTTTCGATTTCCAAAAATGCGTGTCGAACTATAACAATTCAACTCAGAATGAACTCAAATTTTGCTTACAAGTCATAAATGACATAACGAAGCTACTGAAATTTTCGGAACCACAATTCGAATCCGATATCATAAAAGTCAACTCTCGGTCAAACTTGCGAATATTTCAAACCTTCAAATTTTCAACTTTCGCCAATTAGCGCCGAAACCTCCTAGAAATATCCGAATGAAATTTCGGGCATACGCCCAAGTCCAAAAGCACCATCCGGACCTAACGGAACCTTCAAAACTCTGATCCGAAGTCAAATACACAAAAGTCCAGCTTGATCAACTATTCCAACTTAAGGCTTAAATCATGAAACTCATTCTTCCAAACAAATTCTGAAACATCTGAAAACTAAAACCAAAGATTCAAACAGTCACAATGCATTATACGAAACTACTCAACACTTTAAATAGCTGAACGGAGTGCAATTGTTCAAATTGACTAATCGGGTCGTTACAAGTAATAACTTTGCATCTAAAAAGGTCTAGAAAAATAGACTTTAAATTAAAAAAATAATAATATTTATAAAAAAAAAGGCTAAGACCCCTCATAAAGTTTTGTTTTAAGCCACAAAATTTGTCGGCCCCTCCTGAATATTGTAAAAGATGCTTTTGCTTTTTTCTACCATTGAGTAAAATGAATCTAATTAAGTCCCAATTTAAAAAGAAACAATTGAAGTTTCAATTAGTTAAACTGACTGAACATACCATATCTAACGCACTAGCTTACATGTGAATCTTATACTCTACACTTGTACGTAATTTAATTTTAATAGGTATAGGACTTGGGGAGAAGCTACAATTTTACTTATGGGTTCGGCAAAAGCTTTTGTATTTGTGTTAAAAATCCACTTGATATATATAAACTCAGTAAGCCGCCTTTTGTAGAATACAGAACCCACAAACTCAAAATTTTGGCCCTGCCTCAGTGCCGGCCCAAGGGTAAGGCTGCTAAAGCAATTACTTTGGGCCTCATAATTTTTGGGGCCCCAAATTTTTCTAATAGGTTATATATTAATTTATTTTTAGAAGAATATTTAGTGCTTTAAATGAGAAAGTACAAATTTTCATAGTAAAAAAGTAGGATTAAATTATTGACCATAAATTGAGAAAAAATATATTTTTGGGAATCACTCTCTAAACCATAAATTGGATTCAATTATTAATTCATAACTCAAAAAAGATTAAAACTTTAATACAATCCCACAACGTGTATATCTCAAGAGAAATTAAATGGATTCGATAAAATTATTAATAACTTTGCATATGAAAAATTAAAAATACAGAATTTAAATGAAATTATATATGAATTTTTTCTTTTATATTAAAAAAGGACCTCTCATTGAATTTTTGCTTTAGGCCTTTATATTTATTGAGCCGTCCCTGCCCAATTATGACCTAGTTTGATGACCACATTAAGGGCTTGGATAATTTCAGCATGGCATCCAAACGAAGAAAGAATACTTGCAAATTCATATTTGGCTTTCCTACTATATAATCTCAAGGCAATGTATGTAACAGCATATATCATGAAAAGTCGGCACCAATGAGAAGAAAGCTTAAAATCCTTTGTCATAAGTTTTTAAGATCGTCACAAAATAGACAAGAAAATAACTACGAAGTTTTGCAAAGCTGAAGAATGATGAAACTGTCTATTAGTAATTGGGAACATCTTGTCGCCAGCTGATACCCGAATACACAATGTACTACAACAAGATAGGCTCCCACAACAAAGGCATCACTCCATCTGTGTCAAAAACAACAACCAAAAACTTTTTCTCAAGAAGATATACTAATTAATTAACAAGCATGTTCAGCACCTACCATAATCAGAAATTAACACAAAGCTGCAGTCAAATGAATCTCTAACTATTCCATATATCCTCTGAAGTATCGGAACCTAGTTGATTGTTTAACATATTGTTGAATATATAGTACACTTGCATAGGAAAACTAAGGGAATATTGTTGATACATCATTCCTATGTCAAAGGCAGGGGCAATCCGCCTATTATACAACCTAAGTAGGTTAAAAAAATTTTTTTGTATATACAGTCAAACCCCTCTATAAAAGCCTCGTTTGTTCCGATATTTTTTGGTTGTTATAGTGAAATGTTGTTATAGAGGACATATTATAACATAATATAAAAATCAGTTCCGAAAAAAACTTGGCTTTTATAGCGAATGACTGTTATTTGGGGATGTTATAGAGAGGTTTGACTGTATAATCCCTTGACATAAGAGAAACTTCTAATGTAGTGGTAAAGGGTTCAAAAATTACTTATGTCGTAGTTCAAATCCCAAGTATGTCATTCTTATATTTTTGTGAATCTCCTTACCAGAATTCCTGGCTCCGTCACTAGTTAATGGATTTAACTAGGGAGTTAGTGAGGCTGAAACTTGTACTATTATTTTGTTTGAAGTTGAGACAGTTTGAAATTATGCCACTTTCTCATGTTACCTTGTTTTCTTCTTCCTTAAATTATAAGGTTCTATGTGGAAGCAACAGAAAGAGGTGTTATGTAGAGAGGATGAAAGAACTCAAACTGTCGGCATAATGGAAAGGAAGAAAGCTTAAATTGCAGTATAATAATACCCTTTGTCGTTTCGCATGTGATGTGCTTTCAGCAAAATCAGCTGTTCGTCGATGAGAGGTCCCAACATCTTCATTAGCAGGCTGCACAAACACATCGATGCTTATGATAAAAGCTGAGTCTATGCTAGTTGTGTAAGTACAGAGAAAAAGATGGTTGTCAAAATCCGAAACGAATAGAATTATCCATAAGATTGTAGTATTTAACATTAAAGGTGTAAAATACACTTACTTCACCAGCTGATTCATGAGCACTTCTAGGTTCTATAATTGATGGTCCTGAAGATACACCTAATATCCCTGCGTTGTCAACGACGTTATCCACAGTTGCACCTGCAGGTGTAGCAGCTTGAAGTTCACCACTGAGGAACATAATTCTCAAAAGTTGGCTAACTTCTGTTGGTACGCCACTTCCTGGCGGCACCTGCGCTTCAGTTTGATCAGCTGTGGCAACTATGGGTCTAAGAAAGTATCTGGTGTATCTAACTCGTAACACATTTGGTGGTTGTCCTCCTGATTAACAATTAAAGATCAGAGAATCATCTTTGAGAAATTTTTTAAAACCAAGTTCAGGCTCAACAAAATCTTGATGGTTTTATCCATTTTTATAGTTAGTAAATCCAACTTAGCCCTTAACCTATTTACAGGCTTACAGCCACTGGCACTTTCTTTACATTATATGTGCTGAAACCTTTACTGTAGTTTTGTATTATATTGGGCAGAGATGATTCATATAGCCGACACCGACTTGGGACTGTGACGTAGTTGCATCTGTTTCAATTTCACGTAGATATAATCTCACTAATTTATACATCATAAAATGAAAGGGCCAATTAATCAGTTTTATTATTTTGGTAAGGAAACAAGTATTTCCATTGGAAACTAGTAAGTAATAATTTCACAAAGGGACTATATTATTTCATTTCTATTTATGGTGCACATAAAACTACGTGTTCATCTTACCTTGCTCATTTGCCAGCTAGATAGCGTACAGAAATAATGTCAAATCTTATGAACTACCTACATAACGAACCTCCTATCATTTGTGTACCAACTTGACTTTGGTGCAGACGCATACCATTATCATTTACTAAACCAGAGTTGATCAGCCTGTGTATTGTTGAGAGCAGCACAGAATAAAGTTCTTCCTGTTGACGGACAGAACGTTGGATTTACAAAGTTTAATTGTCAGATATAGATTTGGTTTTAGTAGAGGAACAATGACGAGGCTACCTGGATGGACAGTGGACCCGAGTCGGTTATATAGACTGCAGGCCCAACATTAACTACGGCATTACTCTGAAAACAATAACAGACATGATCATGTTATTAACTACGGCAGTACTCTGAAAACGATAACAGACATGATCATGTTATTAAGAGAAAAAATAATCCAACTTAGTAGAGAGCAAAGTATAGTACCCCATTGTCACCCATTCGGACTCCCATCACTGTGCGGCCAAGTTCAAGAAAATATGCACCTAGATTGTTGAACATTTCTCCGATTGTTGTCTGTGCATTTGACTGAGTTCCCTGGCGCACACTCGGATCACCCACGTTCAGAATTTGGCCCAGATTCCTTTCCAATTCCTATGCCAACAGAAAAGCCAATCAGTCAAAAATGTTCGGCTGATCTCAGAATAGATTATTACAAGTCTCGCTTAGGGTTGTCGAGAAGGCAACCAGAAGTAAGAAAGAACAGTCATTCTTTTCTTTCACAAATGAAGCAAATGAAAATAGATGATGTCATGCAAGCCGAAGAATTTGATAGGTGTGCGTAGGCACGCCACACCACTGAAATGTTAACTTTTGCACTGCAATATTTAAAGGAATTGGAGAGCAGTTAATCAAACATAAGCAGGAGCAAGCACTTACAAGAAAGCGCTGTGCAGTTTGGCTAATAAGCATATCCCTAGTGGACGACAGCAGTCTTGCTAATTGTTCTACTTCTGGAATTCCTTGTGAAGGAGTGAAAGTATTGGATGCACTTCCAAGTACCTCATTCGTATTGTTTTCTGTTCCTGATTATAGAAAATTTCTTATCCACATACCTCTAAAGTGAAAGGAAAACATAAAAGAGGAAGAGAACTGACCGTTCATACTATATTCTCGTCTCATTATGTTGAGATATCGTGATAAAGTTTCTATAGAGTTAGAGATTTCCTGCAACAAACAGACTATTATACGGTACTTCTGTACAACCTAAATTACAAATTCCAAGAAGATACTACTATAATACTTTGAACTGCAGCGACAAACCCCTCAATATTACGTTTTTGCAGAGGATGTATACACACATAAAGCATATTGAAAAACAAGAACTATAAGGACGGTCAGTATGATAATATGCAAATGAAATCACCTGTTGAGTATCTGGAGAAATCCCATCCGTAGCAGCTGAGAGGTGGAGCAAGTACAAGTACAACAGACAGGAGTAAGTAACAGCTAGCTCAAATTAGGCATTAGAACATGGTGAGTTAACTGAATAAAAATGTAAAGATACGAAGTATAATTTTCTAAAGCTAGAATAGAGAGAACTGATCATGAGCCGAAGGTCAAATGCATTAAAAATATTTGAGAAGTACTAAATGGTTTTGAAATTTTCTGCTTCACTTGCAATACAAAAGAAATTAAACAAAGAACAACCAGTAAAGAATTTCTAATGGATATTTAGGAGGAGATTGTCTACACAACTTCTCAACCAACATCATATATTAAAGAAAGCTCAGTACCAAAGGATGACATGCTCTGGACAGTGCAAACCAGATGCAAAGTATCACCATGTTGAATATCTAATTAGTGTTAAGACTCCAATGGGGAAAGAAATAATAAGAGCAAAGAGACACAGGAACACTACTTTGAGAAACTATTGTGGTGGTAAGCAAAATTGCGAAAGAACTTTAAATTATACTATACTAAAGATGATCATACATAAAGTGAATAAAAAGAATACTGTATGAAGAAACGAGGTCATTATCCTGTAAGACTTTTCCACAATAGATTAGACGCTGTTGTTCCATTGGCATCCCAATCAAAAGAGATACTTGTTCTTTCAAGCTACATACTCTCCTCTGCGTGACATCACAAATGGAGATCAGCACATAACCAAGAACCATTTTAGTGATTAAAAACGTGAATGCATGCATAAACTATGTGGTTGTGCAAACGAATATAACATGGTTTAGTGTTAAACATGCACAATTAATGTATCGCACAAATTTCTATTACTTAATGAAATAGGTAACAGTTCAGAAGTTAATATCAACAAACAAGTACCTGATTGCTAATGCGCAAATTGTGGGTTTGAGAATTCATAGTTTTTACTTTTATCTTAATCATCGAATCAATGCCTTCAGACTCATGGTCCTTTGAAGCTTCACCAGTGCGAGTCATTTCCTTTCAACAGCTTAAGCACCTGAAGCAGGTAAAAGATTTTAGTGTTTCTTGATTGTTTATGCGTTCAACATGCAGATCAAGATAATGGGGACTACCAGTTGACTATGAGATCCATCCTCAACACCAATATGAGAGCAGAAATTACAATGAAAATGAAACAATTATAAGCAAGAAGTAAGGTGGTTTAGCCAAATTTTAACAAGTTCGCTCCCAGTTAATTGGCAACTGGTCTTAACCATACAGATGGAAAGTAACATTTATACGAGATCCAGTTCCATTAACTTTAAGTGCTTACCATTATATGGAAATCTATCATTACCTTAGAACTTGTTAAGAATTCTAATGTCAACTTAGAATGCGCACATCCTAATGAATCACAAAGTATAACTGCCAGAGAAAATAAGTAGAGACAAGGCGAAAAGGTTACCACTAATGAAACACGAACAAATAAAGGAACATGAATGGAGTAGATCTTACAGCTTATGCAGCAGCCCTAACTAAGCTTATGTGCAGGGTATGTATGGTTAAAGCACGCATATGGAAGTACAAACTCCAAAACAACTCGTTAGAGTAATGGAAACTGTTCAGAACTTGCAACCGCGGAATGCATGAAATTTGTATAGTTTGGTAGGTGAATGAATTTTCAGTAATGAATAGCGCTTTGTGGATTACTCATAGAAGAAGCTATTGCATTCTTTTTGCTACTCTGTTGGTGGAATCTAAATAAATCAATATCTAAAAGGAATTAATGAAGTTTCTTTACAAGAAACAAACTGAATACCTACCAATCTAAAGCCACTAAACGTATTTTAATTTTACTAAGTATGGCCTAGTTTGAGAATGCTACATTGTAACAGGGATTAATTACTAGGTCAGGCTCATTATTACATCACAAAGATCATGCCGAATTCATTATGATATATTTTGCATTTTAAATTGAGAAGGTTACAAGATCAGGACCACTAACAAAGTAACATTTTAAATACTCACAATAGTAAAATTGAAGGAAAGCTTCAAGATTACCAAACCTGCACAATAAGTTATCATTAGCCAGTTATAAAGAAGAGAAGCTTTTGACATGCAGGTTATAAACCTCATATTTCATGAGACGTATGGGCACACATTAAACAACGCAATAGATAAAGCTATATTCAAATCCAACAATCAAGAAAATAACCAATACTGAAAGCTATTCCATTCCTCGGCTTAGATCAAATGAAATTCATTTCCCAAATTAAAGGGTGCAACAGGTGGGTTAGGTGCATACAACTTCGTATTTAAGTGGAGACGGGCAGAGGGGTGGGCTCATATTTTTCGAACATTGAGACACTGTCCCTTACTAACAAAAAATCCTATTCAGATTTTAGCACATGCATGATGCGTTTTCATTCGTAAAATAATTTTCTTGAAGAACTCAACGAACTAAAATACCTAAAGCAAAAGTTGTCAGTACGGATTGAAAAAAATGGAAGAAACACCCAAATTTTATCATCCAAATAAGGACATTCCCATATATGCGGGTTTTCATACATAAACTGAATGTAGGGTCTAGAAATCCAACTACAAAATAATTTCAGATAGCAACAATCAAACTAAAAATCAGAAGCTTTATAGAAAACCTGAAATAAAACCCCACAAATTCATCACTCCATTCACTGAAACAAAAGGTAAAATTACTGGGTAATAATAACCTGAAGAAAAAGAGAAGAAGTGTAACGCCCAGAAGGAGAAAACAGTTGAATGTGAACAGCTATATATGAAGAAGGCTTACTCTTTTTGTAAGATTTCTTTGTGAGCATTGTCTTTATTCCACTAATTTGTAATCCATTTTGGATTATGTTTGACTCTCTGTAATCCATTTTGGATTCTGCCTACTCTCACACTTCTTCAACTTCCTGGCAATTGAGGTTATATTTTTCAGCTATAAATCAAAAATAAGCTAAAAGTTCCATATTTATTGATTTTTATACAGGCATTTTTAGTTTGATCAAGATTCTTACTATTATACTCATAAAATATTTCTTTTCTTAAAATAAACTCCCAACCGATCAATCTTTTCGTCACTTTCTCACCATCAAGAATAATCAGATTTTTTTTTTTTTGGCATTGTCTAGAGGGAGCAAGTTTGCATATTCTCGTAAATGAATATTTGTTTTATATTAGACATAAATAATTCGATAATAGTTCTATTTTCTATATGAATATTTTGTGCACTATTTAATTATATTCTTACTAACAAATTTTAGTGAATTTATTAATTATCGTATGTTAGTTTATTATAAAACAATCAATCTAATAAAATTTAAAACTAAAAAAATAAATGAGACATAAAAACAATTTCATATGAAATAATGAATTTAAATGTTTGTTATAATCAGTTTCTAACTAGTGTAAATAGCTTTAAGGACATTTGAGTCAATTTAACAAAAAAAACGTTTATCAACATTTTTTTCGTCAAACACACCAGCTACTTATTATCAGTTCCATCACTCTTATTGAAACACAATACTACTTATTTTGTTAAATCAACTTCACTACTAAAAAGTATTTGAAAAAATGCAGAAGTACTCCTTAACTTATAGCCGAAGCCCAACTACACACTCTACACCTTCATTCCGATTCATAAACCAACAACTCAATTTAGAAGAACTCAATTATACTTCAAGTGATGATGATATTTACCGACGAAGTTGTAGGCTTTTGGGTTCTTGTGATGGTCTTATACTGATTAATCGAAACGAGCATATTTACTTGTGGAATCTGTCACGAACCAGACCGATGGGCCGCGACGGACACCCGGTGCCTTACCTAATCGAGTACTAACGTAACGTATCTTTCTTATCATACCATCATGGGTAAATGGCCAGAAGGGCCGTCATGATATAACCAGAATAAAACATAAAGGAATACTTGACATAGGACGACCAAACATGGAATACAAACTTATACATGTGACATACGAGTCTATAAGGCCGACATGATCATTTGTACACTCAAAACATAGGCCGACAAGGCCATACATCATCTATATATATGACATATATCTACAAGTCTCTAAGAGTACATAAACGTCATAAAAGTCGGGACAGAGCCCCGCCATACCAATCAATACATGTCCAAATCATACTGACCAAATAGGCAACTCCGGAGCAAGTGGAGTGCACCAATACCTTCCGTTGAGTTGATAGCTTACTATGAGGACTCTCAACCTGTCTATCGGGACCTGCGAGCATGAAACGCAGCATCCCCAGGTAAAAGGGATGTCAGTACAAATAAAGTACCGGGTTTTGTAAGGCATGAAAGCAGTGTATAGAAGACATGAAAGAAACATGGAGTAAAGAACTTAACCTGTAAGTCTGAATATCTTTGTGAATCATGAAACATTTATAATGCCATGCATATGCGTATAAATGTCACATTATGCATAGGTGTATGGTACATAACATCATCAAGCCTCTGAGGGCATCCCATTATATCATCTCGGCCTCTGTGGGCGAAATCCTCAACATAGACCAGCTGATCCGGTGGTGGTGCGTATATAACGCCATAATATTTCCCCATACCCCATATACATATACTATACGCGTATATAATACCATCTGGTCATGAGTCAATATACATATACAAATGAATGCAATGCATAATGAAATAAGTCAATAAGATCTCTCGGAATGTCATGAGACCCATGAACAGACGATATGATAGTAGGACATATGGGGAATCAAGAACATAGGCAACCCTAGTACTTCTAGGAATAGAATCATTTGTGAAAGTTGCGTGCTTGCTCGTTTCGTTGCATCATATGGATCATGCCAAAAGGAAAAAAAGGGATATCCACAATATACCTTAACTCCATTGATTCCTTAATACCTTCCAAGCAATTCTTCAAACAACTCAACTCAATCCACCATAGCATAAATAGATTCAAAATCAGTGTTGAGTAAAGGTTAAGTCCGCAACTTAAACTAGTAGCTCGCTTATGTAAATTTTGACAGCATCTCCCCTATAACAAGAGCCTCCTCCAATACCATATACCAACAAGAATGACCAGATCAATTCATCAATACATAATTATCAATAACAAGACACCATATAATAACAACAAGTCACAACTACTTCACGACTAGCGGCAAGCTCCGATTGAAACTTATATACCCCATATCACCCCTTATAGACTTCTTAATTTAACTTAATAGTATCATTAACATGATAATGGAATCATTCATCAATGATTCCAGCCTTATACCATATATTTATAACAAAGAAAATAATCCACAACTTCAACTATCCTCAAATGCAACTTTATTCACTAGTTCATGTCTAGCCCATCCATTTAACTTAATCAACATCAAAATAACCTTAATCACATGAAATAACACCATATAATTAACTCATACAGTGGATTAAAGTCGAAATCCAGGTTATATTTAGCTTACAATATCCCAACACACCCCAATCACTTCATTCCCAAAACGACAACTATAGTAATGTCAAACACCCCGAAAATATTACAAAAAATGACTAATCCACCATTTCGCCATTATGTGGTGTTTCTCCACAATATTTATCCTCCAAAACTTTATTAAACAGTGGCAAAATAGACAGCTTAAAAATAACATGAAATAGCCCACAAAACAGTCCACTACAAGTCGAATAACTCAAACTCACGACTTCTTATTACCGTCCCGTGGGTTATAACTATTAGGAAACAAATTTACCAACCCTCATTCATATTTAAAATTTAAATACATAAAGTAGGCATTTTATTAACTATTAAATACCTTCCAAAACTCAAACTACAAAGAAAAAGAGAGGTGATATAGCGATACTTATGTCGTAGGTATCGTTCTAATGTTATCGCTTCTTGATTTCGTACTCGGGATGTTAATCTTCTTTGAAACCCTTGTAGAGATATTAAGGGTAAATTTATGGGTCTTATTTGGTCGTTGTATCTTGAAAAATGAAGAAAGAGACGACATAAGGGATATAAATATCCATTTTTTTGAAAAATCAAAAAGGTGCTACTTGGCACCCTAGCATTGGCCCTTCTTCCAATGCTTATATCTTTTTATCCGGATGTCGTATGAATAAACGATAAAAAGCTTTGGAAACTAAATTCAAAGACATTAAATTTGGTATATAATATGTCCCTAAAAGACCTCATATAATATACGAAAGGTATTGCTCAAAAAGCTTTAGTGACCCACCTACTTGTCACCTATGCAGTCTGCGCAGTCTCGCAAAACTACAAATATCTCTATGCTCTGATGTCCTATCAACAAACGGTTTAATATGTTAGAAACTAGACTTGTAGATCTCCAATCTGATATGTGGATCATCCTGTAATTCTAAGTATATTAGGAGAAAAGTGCTGCTATATTTGACCTAATATTCAACACATTATGAATGTAACTTATGATGACCTTTGCCAACTTTTGTTCCAAAACTCGCTTGACTTCAAAATATAACACACGACTATCATACGACTAAAAAAAACTCATAAAATAACCTCCTTATCACGTTAATAACCCTAGTATTACCCCAAAAGTATATATTATAACATTCTCAACTTGTCGACATTTGACGAAGCTTATTTTCTTCAATTTGCTTAGCTCCTAAGCCTTTCAACCCTCTTGGTAGTTGTTATCCATGATCTTAAAAATTTGTAACCTCAAAGGTAACATGATTAACTAACTTTGTGTACTTTCAAAGACGGTCTCATTTCTGAGCTTACATCAATTGATTTATAATGTACTCTCACGTACGAAAATATGGGGTGTAACATCATTCCCCCCTTTGGAACATTCGTCCTCGAATGTTGACTGGTGCGCCTATCAGTCTCATAACCTATAGATTTTATGAATATTTTAATACTGTCCTTTCCATCTAGGCAACTATTCTGTGAATAAATTCAAAGGCCAGGGTATTGTCCCCTTTAGGCCTCTTTCTCATACCACGACTTGTGGTCGGAATCCTTTTAATCTCGTAACTGTTGCTACCTTCTATCATGTAGCATGTACGACACTGACCTTGTAAGTTCCTATGCGACTCTTCTCTCCTTTTTCCTCCATACTATATCATAACTCTTACTTCGGTTTATTGTTACCGAGGTTTGCTACCCAACTCAAGGTTACTCTCTCGCTTCTTATCATATATATATAAATCTAAGTCCTTTAATACTTCCTAATTACCGTTCATTTTAATAATGACGGCCTAATCTCATCCCATACTTTGGAACCTATACCACTCTATTGTCGATTCACCTTAATATTGATCTATAATCTACCACTGATAACTTGAAACCTCTTACGTAATACCTTGTTACTAGGGCTCACGTCTCATCGAGGAATATTTGAAGTGATTTGCCCAATCCACCTAGGGACAATACTATACTTCAATAACCATATTTCATAGCATCCCAACGTGATTCATCATATGGGTTCTAATCCAGTGCAATTCATGAAATCTTTTTTTCTCAAAATCATTACTTAATCAAAGGCCTAAACATCATCCTCTTATCTATCACAATTACACCCTTATTCTACTACCAGGGCAACATTTCATCTCTTCTAAATGCTCCTAGTCTTAGACTCCTGTGAGTCAATTCAAGCTATACTGGGCTTTCTATAACTTACGAAAACCGTCAGCTCTCTTATTTTGATGGGCTTAATCCTGAGGCCTTACCTATTCTTGCCACCTTCTCACTCATCTTTACTTATCCTTACTCCTATCTACCTAAACCCTTGTCGCTCTAAGATACTTTAGCTTGCGACCTACACATATCTATTCATACTACTTGCAACCTTCTTTTAACTTGCTAGCACCATAGATTTCTTTTCGTGCCTTCTCAGTTGCCTTTAAACATAAACAATTATTTTTTCTTGTCATTCTGCCACTTGTTGCATGAATACATGGCTTATCTCATTGCCCATGAATACTAGAATTTCTTGTAACTCATATGATCTCAAATATCAGCTTTTGATTGTTTTCTT